GCCTGGTCCAGGAGCTTGCCTAGTCCAGGAGCTTGCCTGGTCCAGGAGCTTCCCTGGTCCAGGAGCTTGCCTGGTCCAGGAGCTTGCCTGGTCCAGGAGCGTGCCTGGTCCAGGAGCTTGCCTGGTCCAGGAGCTTGCCTTGTCTAGGAGCTTGCCTGGTCCAGGAGCTTGCCTAGTCCAGGAGCTTGCCTGGTCCAGGAGCTTGCCTAGTCCAGGAGCTTGCCTGGTCCAGGAGCTTGCGTGGTCCAGGAGCTTGCCTGGTCGAAGAGCTTGCCTGGTCCAGGAGCTTGCCTGGTCCAGGAGCTTTCCTGGTCCAGGAGCTTGCCTGGTCCAGGAGCTTGCCTGGTCCAGGAGCTTGCCTGGTCCAAGATCTTGCCTGGTCCAGGAGCTTGCCTGGTCCAGGAGCTTTCCTGGTCAAGGAGCGTGCCTGGTCCAGGAGCTTGCCTGGTCCAGGAGCTTGCCTGGTCCAGGAGCTTGCCTGTTCCAGAAGCTTGCCTGGTCCAAGAGCTTGCCAGGTCCAAGAGCTTGCCAGGTCCAGGAGCATGCCTTGTCCAAGAGCTTACCTGGTCGAAGGGCTTGCCTGGTCCGAGAGCTTGCCTGGTCCAGGAGCTTGCCTGCACCAAGAGCTTGCCTGGTCCAGGAGCTTGCCTGGACCAGGAGCTTGCCTGGACCAGGAGCTTGCCTCGTCGAGGAGCTTGCCTTGTCCAGGAGCTTGCCTGGTCCAGCAGCTTGCCTAGTCCAGGAGCGTGCGAGGTTCAGACGCTTGCCTGGTCCAGGAGCTTGACTGGTGCAAGAGCTTGCCTGGTCCAGGAGCTTGCCTGGTCCACGAGCTTGCCTGGTCCAAGAGCGTGCCTGGTCCAGGAGCTTGCCTGGTCCAGGAGCTTGCCTTGTCTAGGAGCTTGCCTGGTCCAGGAGCTTGCCTAGTCCAGGAGCTTGCCTGGTCCAGGAGCTTGCCTAGTCCAGGAGCTTGCCTGGTCCAGGAGCTTGCGTGGTCCAGGACCTTGCCTGGTCGAAGAGCTTGCCTGGTCCAGGAGCTTGCCTGGTCCAGGAGCTTTCCTGGTCCAGGAGCTTGCCTGGTCCAGGAGCTTGCCTGGTCCAGGAGCTTGCCTGGTCCAAGATCTTGCCTGGTCCAGGATCTTGTCTGGTCAAGGAGCGTGCCTGGTCCAGGAGCTTGCCTAGTCCAGGAGCTTGCCTGGTCCAGGAGCTTCCCTGGTCCAGGAGCTTGCCTGGTCCAGGAGCTTGCCTGGTCCAGGAGCGTGCCTGGTCCAGGAGCTTGCCTGGTCCAGGAGCTTGCCTTGTCTAGGAGCTTGCCTGGTCCAGGAGCTTGCCTAGTCCAGGAGCTTGCCTGGTCCAGGAGCTTGCCTAGTCCAGGAGCTTGCCTGGTCCAGGAGCTTGCGTGGTCCAGGAGCTTGCCTGGTCGAAGAGCTTGCCTGGTCCAGGAGCTTGCCTGGTCCAGGAGCTTTCCTGGTCCAGGAGCTTGCCTGGTCCAGGAGCTTGCCTGGTCCAGGAGCTTGCCTGGTCCAAGATCTTGCCTGGTCCAGGATCTTGTCTGGTCAAGGAGCGTGCCTGGTCCAGGAGCTTGCCTGGTCCAGGAGCTTGCCTGGTCCAGGAGCTTGCCTGTTCCAGAAGCTTGCCTGGTCCAAGAGCTTGCCAGGTCCAAGAGCTTGCCAGGTCCAGGAGCATGCCTTGTCCAAGAGCTTACCTGGTCGAAGGGCTTGCCTGGTCCGAGAGCTTGCCTGGTCCAGGAGCTTGCCTGCACCAAGAGCTTGCCTGGTCCAGGAGCTTGCCTGGACCAGGAGCTTGCCTGGACCAGGAGCTTGCCTCGTCGAGGAGCTTGCCTTGTCCAGGAGCTTGCCTGGTCCAGCAGCTTGCCTAGTCCAGGAGCGTGCGAGGTTCAGACGCTTGCCTGGTCCAGGAGCTTGACTGGTGCAAGAGCTTGCCTGGTCCAGGAGCTTGCCTGGTCCACGAGCTTGCCTGGTCCAAGAGCGTGCCTGGTCCAGGAGCTTGCCCGGTCCAGGAGCTTGCCCGGTCCAGGAGCTTGCCTGGTCCAGCAGCTTGCCTGGTCCAGGAGCGTGCCTGGTCCAGGAGCTTGCCTAGTCCAGGAGCTTGCAAGATCTTGGACCAGGCAAGATCTTGGACCAGGCAAGCTCCTGGACCAGGCAAGCTCCTGGACCAGGAAAGCTCTTGGACCAGGCAAGCTCCTGGACCAGGCAAGCTCTTCGACCAGGCAAGCTCCTGGACCACGCAACCTCCTGGACCAGGCAAGCTCCTGGACCAGGCAAGCTCCTGGACCAGGCAAGCTCCTGGACTAGGCAAGCTCCTGGACCAGGCAAGCTCCTAGACAAGGCAAGCTCCTGGACCAGGCAAGCTCCTGGACCAGGCACGCTCCTGGACCAGGCAAGCTCCTGGACCAGGCAAGCTCCTAGACCAGGGAAGCTCCTGGACCAGGCAAGCTCCTGGACTAGGCAAGCTCCTGGACCAGGCACGCTCCTGGACCAGGCCAGCTCCAGGACCAGGCAAGCTGCTGGACCAGGCAAGCTCCTGGACCGGGCAAGCTCCTGGACCAGGCAAGCTCCTGGACCAGGCACGCTCCTGGACCAGGCAAGCTCGTGGACCAGGCAAGCTCCTGGACCAGGAAAGCTCCTGGACCAGGCAAGCTCCTGGACCAGGCAAGCTCTTCGACCAGGCAAGCTCCTGGACCACGCAAGCTCCTGGACCAGGCAAGCTCCTGGACCAGGCAAGCTCCTGGACCAGGCAAGCTCCTGGACTAGGCAAGCTCCTGGACCAGGCAAGCTCCTAGACAAGGCAAGCTCCTGGACCAGGCAAGCTCCTGGACCAGGCACGCTCCTGGACCAGGCAAGCTCTTGGACCAGGCAAGCTCCTGGACCAGGCAAGCTCCAGGACCAGGCAAACTCCTGGACCAGGAAAGCTCCTGGACCAGGCAAGCTCCTGGACCAGGCAAGCTCTTCGACCAGGCAAGCTCCTGGACCACGCAAGCTCCTGGACCAGGCAAGCTCCTGGACCAGGCAAGCTCCTGGACCAGGCAAGCTCCTGGACTAGGCAAGCTCCTGGACCAGGCAAGCTCCTAGACAAGGCAAGCTCCTGGACCAGGCAAGATCCTGGACCAGGCAAGCTCGTGGACCAGACAAGATCCTGGACCAGGCAAGATCTTGGACCAGGCAAGCTCCTGGACCAGGCAAGCTCCTGGACCAGGCAAGCTCCTGGACCAGGAAAGCTCCTGGACCAGGCAAGCTCCTGGACCAGGCAAGCTCTTCGACCAGGCAAGCTCCTGGACCACGCAAGCTCCTGGACCAGGCAAGCTCCTGGACCAGGCAAGCTCCTGGACCAGGCAAGCTCCTGGACTAGGCAAGCTCCTGGACCAGGCAAGCTCCTAGACAAGGCAAGCTCCTGGACCAGGCAAGCTCCTGGACCAGGCACGCTCCTGGACCAGGCAAGCTCCTGGACCAGGCAAGCTCCTAGACCAGGGAAGCTCCTGGACCAGGCAAGCTCCTGGACTAGGCAAGCTCCTGGACCAGGCACGCTCCTGGACCAGGCCAGCTCCAGGACCAGGCAAGCTGCTGGACCAGGCAAGCTCCTGGACCGGGCAAGCTCCTGGACCAGGCAAGCTCCTGGACCAGGCACACTCCTGGACCAGGCAAGCTCGTGGACCAGGCAAGCTCCTGGACCAGGCAAGCTCTTGCACCAGTCAAGCTCCTGGACCAGGCAAGCGTCTGAACCTCGCACGCTCCTGGACTAGGCAAGCTGCTGGACCAGGCAAGCTCCTGGACAAGGCAAGCTCCTGGACAAGGCAAGCTCCTGGTCCAGGCAAGCTCCTGGACCAGGCAAGCTCCTAGACCAGGCAAGCTCTTGGTGCAGGCAAGCTCCTGGACCAGGCAAGCTCTCGGACCAGGCAAGCTCTTCGACAAGGTAAGCTCTTGGACAAGGCATGCTCCTGGACCTGGCAAGCTCTTGGACCTGGCAAGCTCTTGGACCAGGCAAGCTTCTGGACCAGGCAAGCTCCTGGACCAGGCAAGCTCCTGGACCAGGCAAGCTCCTAGACCAGGCAAGCTCCTGGACCAGGCACGCTCCTTGACCAGACAAGATCCTGGACCAGGCAAGATCTTGGACCAGGCAAGCTCCTGGACCAGGCAAGCTCCTGGACCAGGCAAGCTCCTGGACCAGGAAAGCTCCTGGACCAGGCAAGCTCCTGGACCAGGCAAGCTCTTCGACCAGGCAAGCTCCTGGACCACGCAAGCTCCTGGACCAGGCAAGCTCCTGGACCAGGCAAGCTCCTGGACCAGGCAAGCTCCTGGACCAGGCAAGCTCCTGGACCAGGCAAGCTCCTAGACAAGGCAAGCTCCTGGACCAGGCAAGCTCCTGGACCAGGCACGCTCCTGGACCAGGCAAGCTCCTGGACCAGGCAAGCTCCTGGACCAGGCAAGCTCTTCGACCAGGCAAGCTCCTGGACCACGCAAGCTCCTGGACCAGGCAAGCTCCTGGACCAGGCAAGCTCCTGGACCAGGCAAGCTCCTGGACCAGGCAAGCTCCTGGACCAGGCAAGCTCTTGGACCAAGCAAGCTCCTAGACCAGGCAAGCTCCTGGACCAGGCAAGCTCTAGGACCAGGCAAGCTGCTGGACCAGGCAAGCTCTTGGACCAGGCAAGCTCCTTGACCAGGCAAGCTCCTGAACCAAGCAAGCTTTTGGACCAGGCAAGCTCCTGGACCAGGCAAGCTCCTGGACCAGGCAAGCTCTTGGACAAGGCAAGCTCCTGGACCAGGCAAGCTCTTGGACCAGGCAAGCTCTTGGACCAGGTAAGCTCCTAGACCAGGCAAGCTCCTGGACCAGGCAAGCTCTTGGACTACGCAAGCTCCTAAACCAGGCAAGCTCTTCGACCAGGCAAGCTCTTGGACCAGGCACGCTACTGGACCAGGCAAGCTCCTGGACCAGGCAAGCTTTTGGACCAGGCAAGCTCCTGGACCAGGCAAGCTCTTGGACCAGGCATGCTCCTCGACCAGGCAAGCTCTTGGACCAGGCATGCTCCTCGACCAGGCAAGCTCTTTCCATCACCCCGCCCCATTCTCCCGCTTTCAAGCACCCCGCCCCATTCTCCCGCTTTCCATCACCCCGCCCCATTCTCCCGCTTTCCAGCACCCCGCCCCATTCTCCCGCTTTCCAGCACCCCGCCCCATTCTCCTGCTTTCCAGCACCCCGCCCCCTTCTTTCGCTTTCCATCACCCTGTTTGATTCTCCTGCTTTCCATCACCCCGCCCCATTCTCTCGCTTTCCATCACCCCACCCGATTCTCCTGCTTTCCATCACCCCGCCCCATTCTCCCGCTTTCCATCACCCCGCCCTATTCTCCCGCTTTCCATCACCCCGCCCCATTCTCCCTCTTTCTATCACCCCGCCCCATTCTCCCGCTTTCCATCACCCGCCCCATTCTCCCGCTTTCCATCACCCCGCCCCATTCTCCCTCTTTCCATCACCCCGCCCCATTCTCCCTCTTTCCATCACCCCGCCCCATTCTCCCTCATTCCATCACCCCGCCCCATTCTCCCGCTTTCCATCACCCCGCCCCATTCTCCCTCTTTCCATCACCCCGCCCCATTCTCCCTCTTTCCATAACCCTGCCCCATTCTCGCGCTTTCCATCAACCCGCCCCATTCCCCCGCTGTCCATCACCTCGCCCCATTCTCCCGCTTTCCATCGCCCCGCCCATTCTCCTGCTTTCCAGCACCCTGCCCCATTCTCCCGCTTTCCATCACCCCGCCCCATTCTCCTGCTTTCCAGCACCCCGCCCCATTCTCCCTCTTTCCATCACCCCGCCCCATTCTCCCACTTTCCATCACCCCGCCCCATTCTCCCTCTTTCCATCACCCCGCCCCATTCTCCCTCTTTCCATCACCCCGCCCCATTCTCCCGCTTTCCATCACCCCGCCCCATTCTCCCGCTTTCCATCCCCCCGCCCCATTCTCCCGCTTTCCATTACCCCGCCCAACTGTTGGAAACTTGGTCTCTTCGCCACTCCTCCTGATTTGTCCCTCCCTGCTCCGTACCTTCTTTCTTCTGTCCCACCCTTGGTCTCGTGGCAGCTCCTCTTGCCCTGTCCCTCCTCTCTCTGTACCTCCCTTCTTCTGTCTCACCCCATCAAGTTCCTCAGCTCTCTCTTCATGCTTTGGGTTGCTGCCCCTGCCTTTCTCACTTGTAAGCTCCTGGCTCATTGGACTCTCTCTGGGTCTTCCTAACTCGGCTGACTGCCGGAAGGCACTGAGTGGAAACCCTCAAAAGGCTTGTTGGGATTGGCTCCTCCACTTGGCGCAAATACGAGTATGGTTGTAGGTAGCTCTTAGCTGATAGAGGAAACATACAAGCAAGCAAATGATACTTCTCGTGTTGCTTGCCTAAGTATGTGCACTTGGTTACCGTTGCCCGGCAACGGTTGGTTTTGTTTCGTTGGTGTTGACTTCTGCAGGTGTAACGTAACCGTTGTCGGCGAAGTGGTAAAATGCTTCGGCGTTGATGCTGTCGCGAGGATTTTCGTCATCCATTGGGACGTCGACGGAACAGTAAGGGAGAGGTCCGGCTTCCTCCGAGGCTGCATCCACGTTCTGCTCGTCCCAGTCAGCTTCGTCTGCTGCCGAGGCGAAGGCTCGGTCACCACGGAAGTCACCTGTGGGGTCCCGATCTTCTTCCAGGTTGGCAAGGTACGTCAGAAGGGTGAGTCATTCGTAGAAAATGACATCACGTGCTGCTACTGTTTCCTTGGAGTGGACGTCGAAAATCTTCCACGTGTTGTAATTTCTTTTGATGCCCAGGTGTAGTCCCCACTGTGCGCGTTGGGAAAATCGGCCGGCTTGTGCAGATGGGGGTCGGTACTGTACCATGCAGCCGAAAACTCTTAACATTTTTGTGCTGCCCTGTTTTCCTGTCCACAGCAGATGCGGTGATGCGTTGTTCGGGAGCGATGATGACGAGAGCAAGTTGTGCAGCATGATAGCGTGGTCCATTGCTTCGGGCCACTGGTGGTTGGGAAGTCGCATGCCTCGTAGCAGTTTGCGCATGGTGTTCTGGAGACACCTGTTCATCCTTTCTGCTACGCCTTGCTGCTGGTGAGCGTAGGGAAGAGAGATGAGCCTCTTGATCCCTCTTTCTGCCAAGTACTGCTTGAACCTCTGTGAGGTGTATTCTCCTCCTCCGTCTGACTGGAAGCTTTTTAGCTTCACGCCCGATTCTCGTTCTGCTACTGGGAGCCAAGCGACGAAGGCCTCGAAGGCCATGTCTTTGCTCGGTAGGTTGAGATGCCAAACGTAACGCGTAGCGGCATCGATGAACGTGATGGTGTAACTGTATGCTCCTTGTCTAGGTTCGCGGTTGTACAGGATGTCGCTGTACACTTTCTCGAGTGGTGCGTAAGCTGGTGCGCTGGGATTGTGGTGAGAAGTGAACGGCCGATGTGGTAAGTCAGCTTCGGGGCAGATAAAGCATGGTCTGCGAGCTCGTCGAAGTTCGCTTCCATCGGTTAGGAGCAGTGAATCTTTATCGAGCACGCCTACTCTGGTTGTGTTGTTTAACACCGTGTTGCTTGGATGTCCCATTCGTGCGTGCCAGATATCTTCGGTGGCGCGATGTCCGGGTGAGCGCCGATATAGGTCGGAGTTGGAGTAAAAGCTGGCGGTGAAGTTGGCGCTTCGATGGACTTCCCGTTGAGTTGGGTTCAGTTGCTGCGCAGGAGTTGGTGAAGTGACGTCGATCGGTGCCGTTGAAGGACCAGCGATTGGTGTTGATGTTGCCATTGCTGCTGCAGTTGTTGCCTCTGCTGCTGCCGGTGTTGTCTCTACTGCTGCCGATGTTGTCTCTGCTGCTGCCGATGTTCTCTCTGCTGCTGCCGATGTTGTCTCTGCTGCTGCCGATGTTTGTTGAATTGTCGCTAACGCTCTTGTTCGTTCTGCCTCAGGGATGGTGTGCGAGTACCAGAATCCTTCGGGACTGAAGTCGGGGTCAAGATCCGGTGGATGTGTCCAGGAGGTGAAGGTGACGATCCCGTCGCTATCAGCTGTGCCAAGGTCTGGGACGAAGTCGAGGACAAAGACGTTGTTCTTCAGGACTGCCTTGCCGATGTAGAGACCTCCTCTTCCGTGGTACAACTTGAAATCCTGAGTGGTGATATCTTCTTCGAGGTGTATACCCTTCGCCATCAGTTGACTGACGCTCAGTAAGTTGTAACCAAGCCCTTCTGCTATTAAAACCTTTGACATTTGCAGTATGACGTTTGTCTCTCGTGACTGAAGTTGCACTACGCCTTGTCGTCGTGTGCGCGGGTTCTGATTGTTGGCGACGGTGATGACGACCTCGCGTTGAAGTTGGTGTTCACGTTGAAAGAAGCGTCCTGAAGAGCACATGTGCTGTCCGCAGCAGCTGTCCAAGAACCACGTATCTTTCCCGGACGGCTCGCTTTGAGCGATGGCTGCATACGTCGGATTTGGTTGAAGTGACTCGCGGCGAGGCGTGCTGTTGTCAAATTGCTCTTCCGGTGAGTAATGCGGTGGTGATTCTGTGATGCAGGAGTCGGTCAGCCGTGCCATGCAACTGACGATGTTTCTTGTTCCTTGCGCAGGTTGTCCCGTCGATGTTGTTGAGGCTTGTACTTGAGTGGTTGGATTCGCTTGCGTTGAGGCGACTTGACTGCTTGAAGGGCGAAGTGGTCGCTGCGTTGGCGTTCACTGCTGCCGGTTTGGGCAGTGTGTACGGGGGTGGCCTGATATCTTACAAAGGTGACAGATTTGAGGTACTGGTTTCGGTTGATGCCGATTATTGTTGTTGTTGTAGCGCCGTTGAGTGTGAAATGCGAATTCGGGTACCGATGCCTTCCTCTTGTGTCGTTCTTCTTGCAGGTCCATATCTTGCTGCTCAGCGTGGATCTCGGCGCAGAGTGCTGCTTCTGATATTTTTTCGTGAGCTCGGAGTATGGCGCGAGTGGAGCGCTGTCAGATGTTATGTCTACTACAGTTTGTTTAGGCTGTAGTGGGGTAGTTACTATGGGGTACAGTAAGTTTAGGGTTTCCTACTTGTACCCAACTCTTTCCTAGTGCAATCACTCTTGTTCATTCTGACATGGTATCACGAGCCTAGGTTGCCACCTAGGACCGCTTACTACTACGGGCCCACTATTCCGCTAGAAGCACCCTCGTGCGCCCTACCTTACGTGCGCCCTCGTGCGCCTTTCTCTGCTCGTGCGCCCTCGTGCGCCCCCCTTTTTTCTGCTAGTGCGCCCTCGCGCGCCCCGCCCTTCGTTCTGCCTGTGCGCCGTCCTGCAGCCCTCGCGCTGCCTCCTGCTGCCCTAGGCCAGTGCGCCGCCCCTGCAAGCTAGTAGGGCCCTCGAGCCGCCCCTGCAGGTCCGTCAAGCCCCCGAGACGCCTCTGCAGGCCCGTCAGGCCCCTGAGCCGCCTCTGCAGGCCCGTCAGGCCCGAGAGCCGCCCCTGCAGGCCCGTCAGGTCGGCGCGCTGCCCCTGCAGGACCACGCCGCCCGTGCGCAGCTTCTGCCCGACCGCGCGCCGCCCCTGCAGGCCCTCGCCACCCGCACGCAGCCTCTGCAGGCTCGTCAGACCAGCACGCGACCCCGTCGGGTCGCAGTCGCGGCCCCGTCAAGCCGCAGTCGCGGCCCCGTCAGGCCGCAGTCGCGGCCCCGTCAGGCCGCAGTCGTGGCCCCGTCAGGCCGCAGTCGCGGCCCCGTCAGGCCGCAGTCGCGGCCCCGCCCTGCCGTGACGCGGCCCCGCCAGCCCTGCAGCTGACGCGGCCGCGCCCTCTTGCTGACGCGGCCGCGCCCTGCTACTGACGTGGCCGCGCCCAGCTGCTGACGCGGCGTCGCCCCTGCCCGCCGCGTCGCCCTGCTCGCCGCGTCGCCCCTGCCCGCGGCGTCGCCCCTGCCCGCCGCGTCGCTCTGCTCGCCGCGTCGCCCCTGCCCGCCGCATCGCCCTGCCCTACCCCGTGCCGGGCCCCTGGAGCAGCCGCCCCTGGAGCAGCCGCCCCTGCAGCAGCCGCCCCTGCAGCAGCCGCCCCTGACCCCTGAAGCGGCCGCCCCTGCAGCAGCCGCCCCTGGCCACTGGAGCGGCCGCCCCTGCAGCAGCCGCCCCTGGCCACTGGAGCAGCCGCCACTGCAGGAGCCGCCCCTGGCCCCTGGAGCAGCCGCCCCTGGAGCAGCCGCCCCTGCAGCAGCCGCCCCTGGCCCCTGGAGCAGCCGCCACTGCAGCAGCCGCCCCTGGCCCCTGGAGCAGCCGCACCTGCAGCCGCCCCTGGTCCCTGGAGCGGCCGCCCCTGCAGCAGCCGCCCCTGGCCACTGGAGCAGCCGCCACTGCAGGAGCTGCCCCTGGCCCCTGGAGCAGCCGCCCCTGCAGCATCGACCGTCGCGGCCCTGTCCCTGCCCTGCACCAGCTGCCGCGGAGCTTCCTGCCGCGGTCGCGGCCCCGCCCTGCCGCTGTAGCGGCCCCGCAGTCGCCTCCGTCGTGCGCCTGCCCTTCCCACCACTGGTGAGCACTGCCCTGCCCCTGCTGCTACTGCTACTGCTGCTCCTGCTGCTCCTGCTTCTACTACTGCTCCTGGCTTGGCCAGATGCAGCTCCAGGGCCGTCCGCGTGTGTCCCTCATGCCCCAGCAGCTTCGTGAGTGGTACGCCAGTTGGGGTTGTCGGGGTGGCAGTAGTGGGAGTCGTCCTAGAGTGGGTAGTTCGGGAGCTTCTTGTAGTGGCCCTGTGCAGCAGCAGCGTCGTCCGCGAGAGACTCTTTCGCCCCAGCAGCTTCGTGAGTGGTACGCTCAGAGTAGAGGGTCGCTGAGTAGTGCTCGCTGTCTGTACGTTATTAGCACGGGTGTCCGGACTGGTCAGCCTTGCGGGACGCGTGGTCACACAGAGTCCCGCTGCTTCGCCCGTCTGAGCGACGCTTGGCGTACAGAGTTTGGCGACGACGCTGAGCTCCCCGACTGGGTGGAGCTGCTTAGGCAGAGGGTAGATATCTTTGCTCTTGACTATGATGCTATTCTCACTGCAATGTATGCATTGTCTACTAGTGCCGAGGGAGCCTGTCACCTGTGTGTGCCGCCTGACCCCGGTATCCAGTCTGCTGCTCCAGGTGCCGGTGAGGCTGCCGCTCTAGGTGCTAGTGCGTCTGCTGCCCCTGGTCCTGGTGAGGCTGCTGCTCTAGGTGCAGGTGTGTCTGCTGCTTCAGGTGCTTGTGAGTCTGCGCCTTCAGGTACTG